AGACTTTAAGTGGGACGCACTACTACTAATAGATTAGTAGATTAAAGAGGCCGAAGTACTATGCCGCCTAAGAAACTAATAGTGCTAGATTTATAGAACTAATGTATATTAAGCTAACGATTGTGATATTAATAGATAAGTTATAATCTTAGGACCCCGAGTAGATAAGATTGCCTGTAGGGCTGCCTAGAAATAACCTAGGTTTAAGGAACCTAATAATGAGGAGATACCTTAGACGTTTAAGGAATGGATGAAGTAACACGAGCGCCTATATTAGGTTGACTGCCTAAGATAGTGTAATTATTACTTAAGGAAGCGAGAAGAAACTAGAGATAACGAGGATAATTACTACTATACTAATTTATAGTATAACGAGTGTTACGTATAGTATTACTATATATACTAGCTTAGAGAAAAGGAAGCTTACGAAGAGTTATACTAGATTAAGTGCATAATTAATTACTAATTCTATAAGGAATAGCGACGGAAAGCTAAAAGGGTAGATAACTACTACTATAGCACGATTTCTGCTAAAGAATATATAGCAACGAACTATAGAATATATAGGGCCTAAGTACGGGAAACGCTAGTAGAGTATAGTAAACTTCTATAGACGCATTATAGGAAAGGATACGCTATACACTAATAATAGTTTAAGAATACTTGATAGGTAGATAACTACTACTATAGTACCCTACTAGCGAACATTTATAAGGTAAAGAATTACCTAATTTATAAGAGTAGGAAGCCGGAACTAAAGAAGAGGACCACGTAATAAAAGATACTCTATAAGAATATCTATTAGAGCTTCTACTATAACGACTAGTATATAATATACTATTCTGCCAAGGTAGGCGAAGGCTACTTCCTAAAAAAGAAGGGAAGTAAATAGTTAAAAAACTAGGATACTACTAGAGATAGGGTCACGCTGGTAAAGGTAGTCCTAAAACGACCTTTAGATAAGTAGAGGAAGTGGGAGTAAAAGAATTACAATTAAAAGCTATAGTACTTATAGATAGATATAAGGTGTTAGCGCTTATAAATAGTGGGGCAGCACGAACTGTTATATCGCTATAAGTAGTAGAAAGAAATAAAATACTCTATTAGAATAAGAAGGTACTAATGCGAGTGGTATTAGCTGACGATAGTCCTATAATATACGGGAACGGCTAGATTTAACTTAAGACTAAGGTAGTAACGTTACGCCTAGCTGGTTAAGAAAGCTAAGAAAAAATTAGCATTATAGATCTTAGAGAGACTAAGATATTAATTAGCTATAATTGGTTGTTAAAGCACAACCCTACTATTAACTAGTAAAAGAAGATATTACTTAGCTGAGAGCCTATACATAAGGTTGCTAGAGTACGATATAAGATACGCCCGACGAATTAGCGCATAACTTAGAATAGAAGATTCAGCATAATCTTACTATATAAGATCGCGAGAATCTATATAAAGAACTCTTAGAGAGTAGAAGTTATTTGGATACAGCAGATCGCGACTACAAAGGAAGAATTAGTACTATAGTTAGCGATTCTAACAGAATACTAAACGGACGAGTTTAGAGAACTATTTGAGAAAAATAAGGTAATAGATCTAGCAGACTATTAGAATTAGGATTACGAGATTATTCTTAATAAGAGAGCTAAGTTAACCCTAGAACTAATATACTCTATAGCGCCTAAGTATAACGCTAAGCTGCGGGATTATATTTAGAAGAACTTAAAGAAAGAATATATCTAACTAAGATTAAGCTTAATAGCCTTACCTATTTTATTTGTAAAGAAACCTAACGGGAAGTAGTAACTATATATCGACTTTAGAAGGTTAACCAGCGTTACTTAGAAGAACTAATATCCCTTACTACTTATTACAGAGCTTATAGATTAACTCTAGGAAGCTAAGTAGTTTATAAAGTTTAATATTTAGGAAGGATTTTACTAAATTAGGATTAAAGAAGATTAGAAATAGATAATAGCGTTTAAAACGAAGTATAGACTCTTTAAGTACACGGTTATACCGTTCAGATTAACGAATGTACTAGCAACCTTCTAATTAGTTATTAATAACGCTCTCTATAAGTACCTTAGAATCTTTATTACTACGTATCTAGATAATATACTAGTATACTCTAGCGGCACACGCGAAAAATATATTAAGTATATTAAGAAGGTCTTATAGAAGCTTAAGAAATATAAGCTATACTTTTAACTAGGAAAGTATAAATTCTATACGCAAGAAACGGAATTTCTTAGATTTATTATATTAACTAAAGAAGTAAAAATAAACCTAAAGAAGATATAGACTATATAGAAATAGCTAATATCTAAAATAGTTAAGAATATTTAATCCTTCTTAGAATTTGCGAATTACTATCGAAAGTTTATTAAAGATTACTTAAAGATCACAGCACCCCTTATAG